TCTTTTCTTATGAACAGATACCAAATAATCAAGATTAACTTTACAACATATACACCTCGACCAATAACCAGTGGTGTTGTGCAGGGTAGTGTCTTGGGTCCACTGCTCTTTATAATCTACATCAACAATATGTGCAAGTGCTTTAGCAAAGGTAAGAACTACCTTTATGACGATGACTTAAAAGTCATCTATAAAACTGACATTTGCGATGTACGTTGTACCATGCAAACAACCCAACATGAACTCAACATGGTAGACGACTGGTGCAAACGCTGGAGGTTAGAGCTCAAAACAGAGAAATGTGGTTGGTTATGCATAAGAGACACGTCTCTTAAAATAAAGCTAACACTTAACAACCACACACTGCCCAGACTGGCATCAGTAACTGACCTAGGGGTACATTACTCATGCAGTCTTAATTTATCTGAAAACATCTCAGCCAAAGCATCTAAAATGCGGAAATTGCATGGCTTCATTTTCCGTAATTTCTATCAAAATGAATCTAAAATCCTTCTTTATAAAGTTTGTGTAAGACCTATCATTGAATACTGCTCGTTCTTATTTTCCAACCTACACCTATCTGATATACTAAAGGTGGAAGGGATACAACGAGACTTCACCCGCAAAGTACTTAAGACTGACTCAGTCATTGACTACAGTACCCGATGCCAAATCTTAGGAATAGCACCCCATTGGAAGAGAAGGCTTAGGTCTAATTTGATTCTCTACTTTAAACTACTCAAAAGCCTTACTTATTCAACATATAAGATAGTTCTTACCCGAGATTCACATGAATACGAACTTCGAAACAAAGTATCTACGGTCAAAGTTGAGAAATACAGATCAAAAACTCGGGAAAACTTCTTCCTCATCAAGTATGCAATAATATGGAACAGTCTTCCTCCGAAATACGCATGGCAGATGAATTACATACGTTTGTAAAACTGACTGATCAAGCCCCCACTTGCACTGATCTCGCACGTACGAACACAACTGCGCCTCACTCAGATATCATAGGCTCTCTACATGTCTAGACCAAAATGGACTTCAAGTTCAGTTTGCTTTATTTTCCTACTTTGTAGTTGTATTAGTTATTTTTCCACCGTATTTCGTCACTTGAAGTAGACAGGTAACTCACTAGACCTACCAATACTGTTCAACTAAACTCGGTCGTTAAGGGACACTCACTACCGCCCTAAAAAGTCAAGAAAACCACACAATCGACTGCCTACTACCAGTGGCCTTGCATCTATGAAACTTGTTACCCACCAACTGGCTAGGACAACGCAAAATAATATCAGCACCAAGTTAGTGTGATTTGCTTCCTGTTTATTCTTTATTAGTCAGTCAGCTACAACGTAGGACCAGGCATATCTATACATCGGTCAAAGTTTCCATACCTCATTAACCCAACAAGATGAACACCGAATTCATAGGAGTAGCTAATTCAGAGGTGGTGATATATAAAAGAAAGATTGCATATAATGACACAGTACAGGAAGAAAGAATCAGTTCGTAGAAAGATATGAATCGATTTTAATTTCTTAGTTTAAGGGAAGATAGAGAGTGTATAAGTACACATCAGATCACTGCAACCCTAAAATGTCAAGAGAACCGCACAATCGACTGTCTACTACAAATGGTCTTGCATCTATGGAGCCTGTTTCCAATCAACTGGTTAGGACAACACAAAATAACATCAGCACCAAGTTAATGTGAGTTTCTTCCTGTTTATTCTGTATTAACTTTTGACTCTTCTGTACACTACGTTGAATAGCAATTAATATTATTTCTCCACTCGTTACCTTATCTACAACTCATATACTTCTATACCTTTCTGCCTGCTTTAATAAACAACTATCCTACATTATACCCTTCTTAATGCTTATACTCTAATTGGCAAACTATAATTTATACTATATTCAATTAAAGCACTGCATCGATGCCTTACTCACAGTCCATAACTTGTAACTGTTTGATGAGCTTGTGAAATGGTACTTATAGAAACAGTGTTTTCCAACAGGATATGAAACACAGAGGATTATGTGAGGTATGACATATATCCAAAAATAAGCTTAAACGAGCCTAAGATCACAAAAGGAAGGAGGGTGGAGTTACTGACCAGGGAGCATTGATGGTGATGGCGATGACTTCAATCCACCCGTGTTTGTGGGGCAGAACGTGTTGTGTGTATCAGGCTCTTTATGATTGAGAATAAGTCAATCAATCTGTGATATAGATTGTCTTCCTGCGTTCACCACTCAGACTCATTGTAACGACAGAACTGTCAGTATTCGGTTTGGAACACAGGACTGACGAACCAAAATTTATTAGACTAGACCAGACTACGTTCCTCTGTATAGCGTGCAAAGCGCTTTTGAGATACTCGTATTAATCACAATTGATTGACCACTGGGTGGTGATCAATGTCATGCTTGTCTAGTCCTTATTAGTGCAGATCGAATGCTATCGATCATGTTGCAATGTGGCCACCAGTCTAGGTGACTCGACACTGCGGGCACTATGTATTGAGATTTAGATGGTGGTTGGAGGTAGTCAACAGGAAACCCTGGACCCGGGTTTCGTGCTACTTGGCACTCGTCAGCAAGGTGTACCTGTAATCTTGAGGGAACTGGTGCTCCCTGGCGGATTCGATCTCGTGTCACCCAGCTTCACAGTCAGAGACGTTACCACTGAGCTATCCGAGCCATGACTGACCTCCTGTAGGACTGAGATGTAATCACAATTGATTGATCACTGAGTGGTGATCAATGTCATGCTTGTCTAGTCCTTATTAGTGCAGATCGAATGCTATCGATCATGTTGCAATGTGGCCACCAGTCTAGGTGACTCGACACTGCGGGCACTATGTATTGAGATTTAGATGGTGGTTGGAGGTAGTCAACAGGAAACCCTGGACCCGGGTTTCGTGCTACTTGGCACTCGTCAGCATGGTGTACCTGTAATCTTGAGGGAACTGGTGCTCCCTGGCGGATTCGATCTCGTGTCACCCAGCTTCACAGTCAGAGACGTTACCACTGAGCTATCCGAGCCATGACTGACCTCCTGTAGGACTGAGATGTAATCACAATTGATTGATCACTGAGTGGTGATCAATGTCATGCTTGTCTAGTCCTTATTAGTGCAGATCGAATGCTATCGATCATGTTCCAATGTGGCCACCAGTCTAGGTGCTTATATATTTATATTTTGATTTTAAAAAACCACACAAAAAACCATATATAAATACCTTTTTTTGCGCTATTACGTGTGCATGAGTTTATTCTCCTCTTTTTTGCCCACTTTGTGTTTTTACGCGCGTACGAGTGTGTTTCGACATGCACTAACATATTCTTTTTTTTCCTTTCTACGACGGCCGGAAAAGACGAGGTTTACGAGGAACTAAATTTTTACTGTACATTTTTTTTACTATATTGTAATTCATGGTCCCTTATATGTAAGGAAAGACGACCAGACGCTGCTACACTTAATAAGCTATCAGAAGAGTGTTTACCAACGACAAACTCGTTGGGTTTAAACTTCTGGCTGGCTACGTCTTAGGGTAAATAAAGCCTCAAAATGAATAGCTCTGTAAGTTTTCGACATTGGATGCTGACCACATTAGTTTTAGTGGACTCAACTAGCCGAAGGCGCTCGGTCAGGCATCGGCACCAGATCACGAGTGGGATCGCCGTGCTCAACAAACCCTGCAATCGCTAGCCAGATTAGATCAGACGATCCTCGATATATTGATAGCCTATCAAATATATCTTCGAACCTTTTCGCTTCTGTCTTTTGATTTCACTTGGTGGGTATGATTCATATTAGGTGTTACTGGTTAAAGCGTTGTCAAACTCAGAATACCTGTGGCATCTTCAACGTGATTGCATATGAAATTGATAACTTGCCAAATGTGACAAGTAAACATGATCAACAAATATTTCGTATCAAAATTAGGTAAGTATATGCTGATACGGAGTATATCAAAAACAAAAGAACTTTGACCAGAAGTAATCTGTTAACCTAAATGCAGCTGTGTTTTCTTAAGCTTATGAAAACCCTCCATGAATCGATACGAGAAGCCTCAAGATTCTGAGTCTTAGAAAGACTTCTGTGACCTGTATTTGTTGTGAGGCCATGAATCACCGCCAAAGTTGCTGTGTATATTCTTATTTATTACGCTGATCAATATCGATACATTCTCAAAGGAATCGATCTAAAAAACATGTATATCAATCTTCTTTTTGAAGGCCATGCGGATATGCGCAACTAATCATTCTATGTTATGTTTTTTTACAGTTGTGGCTTGATAAATCTCACAATTGTCAATTCTGAAGTCTTAGTGATCATAATGTACTTTTCGTCGCTACTGGGTGGCACTTCTCTCAATCAGACTGAGTATGTATACTACGCACTCCGATATTGTTTCTTTCCTACTCACTTCTGACACATTAGCTTAAGGGCAATAGAATAGGAAATTTCTGTACTCAGAGAGCTAATATTCGGTAAAAGTATAGTTATTGAGGCTCTGTTTCAAAGTTGGCCTACCAACGGTGTCACTGACATTGAATTTCAACCTAATGACTTCCAGATATTTCGTAGTAGCATATATAAACCTTTGGGGAATGTGATCATACATAAAATGGCTACACTTCCCACACAATATGAGATTACATGTACCAGGATGAGAATCTGAGACATTTTACAAAACAATGTGTTAAATTAAACGTAGGAGTCATACAACCTGTCATATTTGGTCACCATTAGAAGGTACCTCATGTAAAACCCAATGTAGAATTAACTATGATTATGACAAGATGTATCCTGCTCTATCTAACACAACCATACCGACCTAGACGGGCGGTAAAAATTTCTTGAGGGCACAGTCCACCGTTTCGTTGGTTGATATACCATCCTTCTCAGTCACAATCCAAACATTTAAGGTTGTGGTGGACCAGACGATATATAAACGCAAAAGGTATCAACAAAGTTTATAAACATCAATAGTAACATTAATATATTCCAGTTAAATGTTACAAATACAATAAAAACGGGACTTTACTTAAGTTCACCCAAAATGATGCGTGTTCAGCTTTAATCTGGTACAATAAATCCACAATTATAGATGCTTAGTAATTCCAAACGTGTCGATGAACTCTCCAGTGGTGTAATCCAAAGTAAGGTATGGTGTATTCGCACTCACAGTCTATGAATGTAAATAATATTTGTTTTAGCTCTCAGTTAACTCAATCACGAATGAAAATAGAACGAGGGGTGTGTGAGAAGCAGTGTATTTGTTAACCAGCAACGATATGTCACGCTATGTAGTATCACAACGGAAAAAGTCTTCAAGGTAATTTTACTTAAACAACAGGTACAACCATTTAATAATAAATGTACATGCAGTGAGAAATTGACAAAATAAATACCAATAATGTTAAAAACTATTTACAAAATAAGCTTGTCAGACCTATCTCCACAAGGTCTTTTTCCTGCTCCGATTTTAGTACACACTAAGCCATCAGGTGTAAGCACACCACCAGAGACATATGACATATTTTTAGTGCTATAGGTGACTGGTGAACTTACCAGACACTACACAACAAATGTACCCTGAAAATCGAACGGGAAAGAATGATTTAACAGACCCGACAGGTCTAGTTTCTGGAAATTTCTGATGATATTTTATGCATCATTGTCGATTAAGACGTACGTCGTACAGTGAGTTTACTGAACCGGTATTCCGCAACTGTACGTAGCTCCCATAACTAGGTTGCTGAGTTACGAATCAGTCATATTTAAGATAAGTGGTATTGAATTTCCGCGCAAAATTCACTCATCCACTTGACCAAAAGGATTTTGATACTATATCTGATGTTAACTCATGGTGGAAACCCTAAATCTAATTTCTAACCTTAGCGTTCAACTGTAACTCCTAGTCCTACTATCTAAGACTAATATATAACTCACATTTAACCCTTCTAAGAAGGTGGACACCTTCAAGGTCACCCCAGCGCAGTTCAAAGGTCATCCGTAGACTAGTTTTACGTAAATTGTTTGTTAAAGTACTTGGCGTGATCCAGTGCAATGCCGGTAGTGTTTGTGTTGCTAAATTGTATTCTCGACGAGACTATAATTTATGAACGACCAACAACACATAAGATATAGGTCTCGGATATTGTCTCGAAGTGAGACTATAATTTATGAACGACCTTTGAGCTAAGCTAGACTGACCTAATATCTATAACAAAATGAGGCTTCTAAACCTGTGTGAGAAATTAGAATTATGTTTTTCAGTTGATGGTAAACGTTAGGGATTAGATTTCGGGTTTTCATCACGAGCCGACATCAGCTATAATGCCAGAACTATTTAAACAAATTGGATGAGTGAATTTCGAGTCAGGCGAGACTCTAATTAATGGACGAGCCAATCAGGAGCGTATTTGAGATTTCTTCGAGATTTTTTTTAAAAGGACAGTGGTATTCTTTCTCGTTGAGTTAATTAACTGTTTTGATCGTAAATTACGCATCAAAACTACTGTTTACACTTTAATTGCATCTACCCCAGTTAAAGTGATATTTTATTGAGTTTTTCGATTTTGCTTCTGTGTATTTATTGCATCGAAGCATACTTGGTCGACTTTTACTTGGTTTATTTAGTTAAGGTTTGAAAATCCTTCTACATATCCTGTTTTTGTCACCGTCCTAGTTGATTTTCAAGATGGCTAGGTCTACTCATAAATGTGGACAACCATACTGCTTATTTCCTGTGGATGAAGGGATGCAATGTGATGAGTGTAATAAGTGGTTCCATAAGATGTGCACCCGATTAAGCCCCACTGCATATAAAAGGTGTTCAAAGCCCAACTCTCATTGGCTTTGTAGTTTTTGTTGCTCGAGCAAAACATTGCTTATCCAGGAAGCAATTAGTCTCCTGGTGTTGGCTAATAAGAAGGTTGATGAGGGCTGTACTGATAACATTGGTACGGATGGCGAAGATTGCGTTAGTGTCGTAAGTGCTATCACGGCGCAAGCCAGACATCTACCTGTGCAACCCGCAGTTAAACGTTCTCCCCCGAAACGATCAGTGAGTGACACGTCATTAGACGTTGGTGGCCATATTGCTACAGCAGCAACCGGTGACCCAGATAAAACAATTACTGTCCCGAGTTGTTCTAATGTAGACGTTTCGACTAATGGAAAATGGATGACGCGAAAACGCACAAAAGTAGGAAAGACAGTTAAAACCAATGACCGTTTACTTGATAAGTCCTTGGTGGACTCTCAGGCCAATTCTCCAAAGCTCCAAAGTAAAGCTTCGTCTAACATTGTTGTGAGTCACTCGCTTGACTCTGCTACAATAAAAACTAATCGTAAGATACCAGTAGTTAAAATACAGGATCTAACGTCACGGTCGAAAGCTGTGAACACAGTTTCAAAAGAAGCTAAACCCCTCCCTAGTTTAATTATTTGGAATCTATAGGAGTCGAAAGACAACGACCCTGCTAGAAGACATGCACATGACCTGCAGTTAGTGGAGTCTGTGGTAAGGAATGTACTACCTGAAGAGGTTTCAGGGGTACATATTTCAAAAGTAATACGACTTGGTAAATGGGTTAGAGGTGAGACCCAACCAAGAAGAATCCTGAAGCTGGTTCTCGCGAGTTTTGAAGAAAGAGACATATTATTGAAAAGCGCACTAAAAACTCGTGACTCAAATATCCGTATTCGACCAGATTGGCCGCTTGAGGATCGAATCAAGTGGAAGAATGCTCTTACGGAGTTGAGGACTCGCAAATTAAATGGCGAAAATAACCTTACCATTAAGGGTTTTCGGGTAGTCAGGTCTTGGAAGCCAATGCTTCCGAGGCCTGTATGGGTAGAACGATTGATTGCCAAACACCTTAAGTGTGTGCTACACGAACGCTCGTAGTCTTAGAAATAAAACGTCCGAGCTAAGTCTGATGGTGCAAGAATTATGTCCCGATATAATCGTTGTTACAGAAACTTGGTTCACCGTTGATATAGACTGTTCTCCTTTCATTGCTGGTTATATCTGTATCAGAAGTGATAAAGTTTCAAGTCGCAAAGGGGGAGGTATAATATTATACGTTAGGGATCACTTTCGTATACAATCAACCATATCGGAGGCTCATATCAGTGGCACATGTGAGGTTGCATGTTGTAAGATTAAATCTAGAAATGGGTTAGTGACTATAGGGGGAATATACCGTAGTCCGTCTTGTCTTGCTGACGACTTTATCCTAAGACACATCTGTTCTTGGAGTATGGCAGAATGTTGTCTCATCATTGGGGACTTCAACGCACCGCATATCAACTGGATAGAGCTTACAGCTTCAGGTAGTGGTTTCGATAGCGACCTTTTATCTACCGTTATTCAGTGTGCACTTGTACAATGTATCACAAAACCGACACATATTGATTTGCAACATGTTCCGTCACTGCTGGACCTCGCCCTCACCCATCACTCTGAGGATGTCTTTGATATCCAGCACCTTCCTCCACTAGTGAACAGTGATCACGTTGTAATTCACTTTAAGTTTAGGACACATGGTATACAATTCGTATCTGCTCCACCCCGTCCCAATATCTGGCGAGCTAATATTCCGGAAATCAGAAACTGTGCTATCTCGACTGATTGTCGGTCGACGCGGATGGATTGATCGAAGATGAATGGAATAAGTTTAAGGCTACATTCGAGTCCGTAACGTCGCCGGTTATCCCATGGTCAGCACGTAAGCTATCACATTGCCCTCCATGGATTAATAAGGAAAGTCGGAAGCTGTTAAAGCGTAGGAAACATTTCTGGGACTTATCTTGTTGACAGGTCATGCACCATTTAAGCGTGGGTACCAAACATTCCGGGATATTTGTAAGAAAATCATAGCTAAAACCCCGTACTGCTTACGAACGACAGTTGGCATATAAATGCCGTACTTGTCCGAAACGACTGTTCTGATGTTAAACGGCGACTGAAACGTAGTGATGGTATTCCCTCGTTACTGTTACACGAAAATTCAGATTTACTTGCTGAATCAGATCGAGCAAAAGCTGAGACTTTTTCAAACTATTTTAGCGAAGTCTTCTCTACGTTTATTGTAACAAATACTTGTCCCACTCACACCGAGATACCAACCATTGAATCTGTACAGGTGACTGAGGAAACTGTCCTTCCGTTGATAACTAACCTCAAACCTGGTAAGATACCTGGCCCTGACGGGTTACATCCACGGTTGCTGTCATCTCTTGCGGACATTATTTCAAAAGCGCTTGCGACACTCTTCAACATGTCCCTCTCACTCGCTCAACTCCCTAGAGATTGGAAGGACGCTATAGTTAGTCCTATATTTAAGGACGGTTAGCGACAGATAGTATCTAACTACCGGCCTGTCAGTCTAACTAGCATAGTCGTTAAGTTACTCGAAAAGATAATTCGGGTTAGGTTGCTAAGCCACATAGATTTACACAATCTGTTAGCTCCTGAGCAACACGGATTTCGTAACAAGCGTTCATGCTTGACTAACTTGCTTATTGCGAGGGAGGATTGGACAGCAGCCCTAGATAAAGGTCTTTCTGTCGATGTGATATTCATAGATTTTAACAAAGCATTTGACAAGGTTTCACACGTAGGTCTTATGCAGAAGCTCACGAGCTTCGGAATAATAGGTACTGTACATGAGTGGATAGGAAATTTCTTATGTGACCGCAGACAGAGAGTTAGGGTCAATGGAGCGCTGTCCGATTGGAAGGCGGTCAAAAGTGGTTTACCCCAAGGCACCATCTTAGGCCCTCTGCTCTTCCTTCTCTACGTTAATGAGTTACCACTGTTACTTAGGTCGTCGACATTATCTTTTGCGGATGGTGTAAAAATCTGGAGAACAATAAAAAGTGCGGCTGATCATGTGGATCTTCAAGCTGACTTAGACGATTTAGTTAGATGGGCTCGAGAGTGGGGCTTAGAAATCAATGCTAGGAAGAGTGTACTAATGCACGTCGGTCACCGTAATAGTTACCGTTACACTATTGAGAGTAAACATCTTCCATGCGTTCAAGAGCATAAGGACTTAGGAGTAATATTAAGTCGTGATTTAAAAACAACTGCGCATTGCAAAGCAGCCGCTGTCAAAGGTTTTCGTGCGTTATGGTCACTTCGCCGAGCGTTCAAATCTTTTGACGAGGAAACGT